GTGAGACCAGCATTGCTCCCCCCCGGGTCCCACTGCCAGCAGGGGTGGCTCTAGTGGCAGCTGCTCCGCAGGCTTCTGCCCCTTCCCTTTGGCCACCATGACGCTTCAGGACTTGTAGTTCACCGGTCTGAATTATGCAAGAACCCAAAATGCTGCTGGCGGGGTGCGCAAGGGGATGCTAGAGGAGGCCAGACAGCATAAGCAAGGAAAGATATCCCCTTCTGCTCGCCAGAACTGCCCACCAGCTTTGACAACAGAGAAGCCAATCGTAGCGTGAAGGCATGAGGTCTGCAGAAGGATTCAAAGTTTCTGGGGAAATATCCTAGACTATTGCCATCTCCTTCGGCTGTTTCTGAAAAGAAAAACCTAACATTCTGGGATATAAAATCATTATCATCACATCAACCAGGTTCTGACCACCAACACCAACTGCAGCTTTAAAGGAGAGGAACAGTGGAGAAGCGTAGATTGCTTGAGGGACGTTCCCTCATCATCTTTGTATTGCTTGAGTTTTGTTCTTCCACTGCTGCCAGCTAGGGAAACAGAAAGCTCCCCATGCTTCGGAGAAGTTCACTCATGATGGCTCTCCCAGAGACCCAAATGTCCCTAGCGCCCTGCATCCCAACCTGAGTGTCTGGGAAGGATGAACTTTACTGCCTGTGGGAGCACCAGGCAGGTGCTAGAGAAGTGGGAAGAAAATCCAGACCACAAAGATATAATGTCACTCTGCAATGAAAAACTGGCCATGCTGGGACACCCATCCCTCCCACCCCCATTTGTAACCCTCTCTGATGGATTTTGTCTGCCATTTAGCAGCAAAACTGATACCAAATGCAAGTTTTGATATTGTTTTGGCACAATCGGTATCTGCAGCTGGAATAGGAACGCGGTCAGGCAACTGGTGACACTTCTGCTGCTTTATAACCTATAATTCTGTAGGAGTTCAAAATGACCCTGCGGCTCTTTTTAAACCTCCCAGAACTTCCCAGCACCACCTCTACGTTCAGATATCTATCTACTTATCTACGGTAGGGGTGAAGCTGAGATGTTCTGTCAAGGAGTTGTTTCTTTCCATCCCCATTATTCAGGTTGTCTGCGACTGTTGACACCAAGATGAGGTGCTGTTTGCTTCCTTGCTCGGTGATACTCAAGCTCCACTTTGGGCTGGCACCTCTCACACATCCCAGAGGGCCATGCACTCCCTCGTTCTTACCCAAATTCAAGTATGGACATCACCCGAGGGAAGTGGGAGGAAGGAGGGGTGCTCCCAAACTCACACCTCCTTTTCTCAAGGCTCCACAGGACACAGCTGGTGATACTGTGGCTAGAAAGTGTGCATGGCAAAGTCTTCGTGCACACGAGAGGAAGGCTGCAAAACATGCGTGGGGTATAAGCTTGCAAGCTACTGGGATCTTTGCTCATGGTCTCAGCCAGCTCTGCCTGCCCGAAGCTCCTGCTTTACCGCAGGGACTGCATGACCAGTTAGGTCCAGTTCTTCCCGGGCAGTTTCTCCCCTCCATCTCCCCATGCAGCTGTTAAAGCTAAATTACTCGCTACAGAGGCTGACACAAAGGCGAGGGCGAGGGCTGGCCAAGACTTCAAGCAATATGAATTTAAATGGAGGAGGAGGAGGGGGAGGAGGAGGGTCTGTGTTCTTACATTACAGCTGCCTCTGTCCCAAGGTCCTGAGCCAAGAGGATTGTCAGGATTAGAAACATTATCTGCATTCAAATCCCACCAGCATTATGGAATCAGAAAATACTGTAAGGGGATATATAAATGCCTGATACTGTAATGAGCAGGGGGCAATCGGCCAAGCTGCTGTGCCTCTAGCATACTCTTTATTTTGCTGACTTATGGGGTTCCAATATAGGTGTGGGAATACGTCCTCACCTCAGCACTGGTCAGACTCACCTGCTGCAGTGGAAAGCACGGGCAGGAGCGATGTCTAGTCCCTGCGTAGGTGGCACTAAAAAAAGCCACCATAGGTACCGCCACCCCGCAAAGGTCTCCTGCCTCCAGGCGCTGCCACAGTGGGAAGAATCCCTAGAGCCTTGTCTTGCATAAGGACTCTGCTGGTGCAGGACTCCAGTGTGCTGTGGATGGGCGCAGGCCATACTGCTCACCTCATTATCTCGTTAGCAGGGAAGTCACACACTGTGCACCTCTTCTCTTGGGACAGGCCCCTTCAGAGGAACAGCTCCAGACACCCGTACCCAGAGTACATACACCTCACAGAGACAGTCTAACTGGGCACACGAGCCCGGTCACACCAACAGGCACACCTCCAGCATTTCTGGGACCTCGTTTTCCTCCTGAACCTTAACGAAGCGCACACTCCCGCAGCCTCGCACAAAGGGGATTTCATCCCACCACCCACATTTTCTGGACAAGTTTGCTCTTTCCCAGCAAGCTCCCATGCTCACAGCTCCACAGCTGCACCCACAGTCCTCCAGAGAGCTACCCTGTGTATGCCACACGCTGACATGTGTCACTCCTGATTAACACTCCCTCTTTGGCACCCAGCTACTTGTCTGCAGCAGGTATTGCAACCTCACGCAGCAGAGGCGTGTTTCTGAGCTTCTTCAAACACCCCCACAACACCCTAAGCATCTCCTGTGTGCAGGAGTCAAGAACTATTTGGCTTAAACTGCCTTGACTTTGTCTGGCACATGGCTCACATAGCTGTAAATAGCTGGATCAAGTATGGACCGGACTGGACATGACTGGACAGTGTTCTACCCTTGGGCTTTCTCTATTTCACCTCTGGGCACAGTCCAGCCAGAACCTCAAGAGTAGACTCTGAGGAACTTCTTTGCAGCCCTACACAGCTGCCTACAAGGGGTGACTTGCTGATAATGTCCCCTAAAGCTGATGATTCCACAGGCTCCGTCCCTTTGTCCAGTAAAGGCAGATGCCTATACTGGGGAACAGAAAACAGCTTTTCCCACCATCGCCTGCTTGCAGGTGTCCAGGAGGCTGGCAAGAAGTGTCCCTCTCTCCCTGCATTATTGTGTACCAGCTGCCCTCAGGTGCTGTAAGGTGGACAGCTGTGGTCCAAGCCAGGAGATGAGATGCCAGATGAGTCAGAGCAGTGCTCAGATGCTTTATCAATGGATGTGCAAATATGGACCAGTACTCTGCCCCATCCAGGCAGTATCCCCTGGAAGAATGAGCCCTGAACGTGCAGCCTTACCTTCATTTCAAAGCACTGGCAGAGAGCAAGGAAAGAGCGATAATACTGTGTGTTTTCTGCATAAGACAGAACACCCCTTTTGCCTCATTGGTGGGGTTTTCCCCCAAAAGAATTTCTCCCTAAAGCATTTCCCCCAGGATGCTGTGATGGTTAGTGGAGAATACGACCTTCTGGATGGCTTTGGGACAGACCTGGGGACATGGATTAGGTGGAAGGGAGAAGACAACCACATTCCCTGTCACTCCCCTTTGCCCAAGCAAAGTCCCTGAGCCTTGATGCCCACGGTTCCCACCATCTCCCCCCAGGATTTCAGGGAAGGACTGGTCGCTGCCAGCACCAGGAGCTGGCTGGCCTCACGATGCCCCAGGGTGCAGGTGAGGGGGCTGCCCCGTCGCCTTTGCTCGCTGATGCCTTTAATTGCTGCTTGCTCTCACAGCAGCAGGGCACAGGCTATTTATAGCAGGGAGTCAAGGGGCCGTGCGGCCACGGGGGCAGCGCCGCTGGGTGACATTCAAACCAGCTTTGAGGCTAGAGGGGTCGTGCCAAAATGCGTCCTGGGGAATGGTGTTCCTCATAAATCAGCCCACCCTCCCTCTGGCCGTGGCTTTTCTTCTGCCCCCTGCCAGCCTCCCGCCACCAAGCACAGGCAGCTGTGCCCTAATAGGGACATTCCTATCCCATAGGTGCTGACCTCTCATCCCCATCATCCCCCTCCATCTGGGAAGGGGGACAGCAAAAGCCATCAGCATCAGAGGCATTCGTGGAGCAGGGAAGGAGAGGGGGGAGAAGGGGGCTCTTACAGCTGCTTGGTGGTCTCAGAGCCTTATTACCACCTTGTAGGGTCTCTGGCATGTTTGTGGTGGGGCTAAGTCAATCATGTGATGAGTAAAGGGGCTCATTTCCCAGGGTCACTGCATCTCTACGGAGCCCATCTGGAATTCACAGGGTCTCACCCGGGGCTGCTCCCTCCCCGGGGCACTTGCAGAGCGTCTCTCCTTTCCTCACGTATCTATTTTCACAAAACAGGCAGGAACTCAATATCTTCAAGAGGCCCCTTCGTCAAAAATGGTGGGGAAGGGGGGAGCAGTGGTTTCTGAAGCTGCGAAGAGGAAAACATGAGCATGGCTGGGATTAGCCTCCTTTCCTTAGGAAAAAGAGGGGACCAGGAACTGGGGTTGACTGAAGCCTGGACAGGAGACATGATTTAAATCATTTCACAGGAGAAGGGACCACTTTTCCCAGGCCAGGATTCCCTCCGCTTTATTTTTCTGGGAGACTGGTTTAGATGTCCCACCACATGTACGAAGGAAACAGCGATGCTGCAGTGCCCTGCATCCTCTCCAGTTTGCAGCCACTGCTCCCTGGCACCAAGCACTCCCGGAGTTAAAATATCCATGGTGCCCACACGTCACACTGCCCCGCAGGAGGTCACCAAGGCACCAGGGAGGGGACAGCTTTTGCATTGTGTCTGTGGCACAGGTCTTTCTTCCAGCCAGGCCCAAAGTCTCCGATTTGGCCAGGAGCCCTCTCCCTATGCCCAAGCGTCACACACCAATTAGCAGCGCATGGCATCACCAGAAAGCTCAGCGCTGCCACACAGTGGGAAGAAACCCAACCCCTGTGACCTCCTGGCAGCTTGTCTCAGCAGGGAGGCAGCATGTGACACGTTCCGTCCATTGGTGCCCTCTGAAAGCAGAATGTGGGTCACTTGTGCCTGTCGTGCCCTGCGAGCAGAGCGTGATTCCCTTCAGCTACCTTGTGGTGTTAATGTCACTAACGGTGGGCTCTCTGGTTCCTCCCACAGCTGGCAGCTCAGGTCCTGGAGTCCAGGAGCATCGGCTTCGGGATGGTGGACTCCAAGAAGGATGCCAAACTTGCCAAAAAGCTAGGTGAGTCCCATATCTGGTATCTCTGGAATAGCTCGGAGAGGGTGTCAGAGTGATGCTCAACAGCCAGCCCTGCACAGGACAGCCAAATCCTTGTCACCAGGATGGGGAGGGTGATGGATTGGACACTGACCACTAGCCCACCCCAACATGGGAGTGAAGTTAGGGGGTGAGGATGAGACGGGAGAGCAAAACTCTTCCTGGCAAAACGGGTGATGGTGGCAATTGCACACTGACCACCAGCCCACCCCAACATGGGAGTGAAGTTAGGGGGTGAGGATGAGACGGGAGAGCAAAACTCTTCCTGGCAAAACGCTGGAGAGTGCCAAAACCAACCCAAGGGAAGAAGAAAGCCATGATGGTGGAAGCTCACAGCTTGCTCAGCTGTAGACAGGGGTCATGGAGTAAATTCGTGCTCTTCCCGCACAGAGACATGTCTGACCCTGCCCTGCAGAACCAAAACCTACAAGGACATCACATAGGCCTCCAAATGTCACCATGGCAGACTGACCCCCAGCTGCTAATGGGGGAGCCACAGCCTTGCAATGGTTTGGCAGCCAGGTGCCAACCCTTTTTGACTTGCTCCCCAGAGCAGAAGAGGAGACCTCCTGTGAAGGTGCAAGGCTGCTGCAGTGCCCACCCCTGGAAACAGCTGCCTTCCTACTTCAGCCCACAAAGCAATATGGAAATAAGGGCACCTACAAGAAAGATGGAGGGGGACTTTCACAAGGGCCTGTAGTGGCAGGACAAGGGGTAACGGATTTAAATTGGAAGTGAGTAGATTTAGATTCTTCCCAGAGAGGGTGGTGAGGCACTGGAACAGGTTGCCCAGAGAAGCTGTGGATGCCCCATCCCTGGAAGTGTTAAAGGCCAGGCTGGATGAGGCATTGAGCAACCTGGTCTAGTGGAAGGTGTCCCTGCCCATGGCAGGGGGGTTGGAACTAGATGGTCTTTAAGGTCCCTTCCAACCCAAACCCTTCTGTGTTTCTATGATTATGGCACATAAATACCACAGTACCTAAATATACCACTAGACTTAAGGTCAGGGACTGTTCAAGCACACTGGACTGTATACTGGGCTGTAATTTTCTTTCCTAAATTAGAGGCCAGGTCTGCTGATGGAAGCTAAACTAAAGATGAGAGCTTCTGCCTCTCCAAGAAGGAACAAACTACCAACCACCTTGACCAATGGTACCCTGCCATCATGCACTGCAGGAGCTTAGTGACACTGATTTTGGAGCCCTCACCTGTGGCAACCAGCCGTCGGTCCAGTGATACACCATTCAGATCTGCCAGCCTGCCATCTGTGGCATCCCTACCATAGGTCCCTAAACCTTTTGCCAAGGCTAGCTAAGGCACAGAGAGTTTGAAGCTCACTTTGGCTTCCAGTTCACTGTTTATGTTCACATAGTTCAACCTTCTCTGGGTAAGGAGCACAGCTTGCATCAAAATCCATTCTCCATCTACTGTCAGGTTGTTGAAACTTGCCATGAGTTACATCCCAGTACTACTAAGTGCAATATAGATAGCCAAACTAAACCAGGTTCCCAGTACAGAGCTCTTCCAATTGAGGCTAAACTGTGACTGGAAGGCAAAAGTTCAACATTTGGGAAGAAGCTAGCACAAGTTCTGGCTGAGGTCTGTCCCTCGTGCCATAAAACATCAGTCAGGAGATTGCTCAGCTTGTTTCTGACTGGACCAACACTGCAAACTGGCAGTTGCAATTTCCCAGGAGGCGTTGCTAGAAAAACAAGCAAGATGCTCACTCTGTAGTAAAAATGCTTTTAGTGACGTGTTGACCAGATGATGATTCCTGTCTCCTCCTTTCAGGCTTGGTTGAAGAGGGAAGTCTCTATGTCTTTAAGGAGGAGCGGTTGATTGAATTTGATGGCGAACTGGCCACGGATGTCTTGGTGGAATTCCTCTTGGATGTAAGCACAGATAAGCTCAGAGCTAGATAAAGCCTTTCAGAGAAGACTTTGCAAATACTCACTTTGCTACAAAAGATGGGTTTATCTTTATCTGAAATTTTGTCTCTGTTTGCCACGTACTGGTAGAGATGACACTAACAGCTTCCCAAATACTTGCCTGGCATTGAGTTTCCGGGGAAGCTGGTACCTTTATATGCCCCAAACCACAAAGGTGTTTTACGCCATTTCCCATTTATGGTGTGTTTGTTTGGAAGCAAGGAACAATCCCACATAGCTAACCGCTAGTCACCTGCCTCAGTTAGCAAGCTGGCATGCAAACTTTGCCATCTGCAGATTCTTTCACTCTTTCTGGGTTTGGTTTTTTTTGGTTTTGTTTGTTTGTTTGTTTTTTAAATATGGGCAAGCAGGGGAGCTGGCAGGGTTTGCTTCCCAGGCTGCCTAAGCAGTCACCTGCGGTGCGGAATGATGGTAGGGAGAGGCATGTCCAGTGAAAAGAAACATCTCCCTAGGCCCCTTAAGTCTCCTACAGCAACGTCAGTGGCTGCATGCACCAGGTACCACGGCCAAAACACATGCAAGTGGCTTCAGGCCTGGGAGGGCCACGGACAAGACAGGTCCTTGCTGCCACCCCCGCAGCGATGGGATCCCTGGTTCCCATGGCTCAGGCCACTGTGGCAGCAGGGAGCTGCGCACGCTGCTCTGGATGCAGCGGAGGCACAACTGCACGCTGGAGCATCACTCGCAAGGGGTGCAGCGAGATGTGTTTTGGGAGGTTTTGTTTGCTGTGCTTCGCGGTGTGCCACTGTAAAATCATGTTCTGCAAACAAAGGGAGAGAGTAAGGATTTCTGCTTGTGTGTTTTCCACACAAGAGGGAAAATACCCAGCAAAGCAGGGAAATAACACCAAACACATCTGTGGTGCCTCGGCAGCCTGAGCTCAAAGGGAACCAAACCCAAAGGTACCCTACTCTTCTGTAGGCTGCACAGTGGCCTACCTGCATTTTTTTTTTTTTCCCCCTAGTGAAACCACACTTGATTTACAAAAGTATTGCTGGGCAAAATAATCAGACCAAATCTTTTCGCCAGCAGTGGCTAATTGAGAAAACAGAAACAAGGTTTGGACTAATGACAGGCTGAAACAGTTAGGTCTTCCAACTTCCTCATCAACACTGTGATGTGTCTGGGGCCAAAGCACGGGTTTAACCCATTCTGCGTAGAAGGATTAGCCAGGAAAATTCGCATCCAGACTTTCCGCTGCTCCAAAACACTGTTTGGCTACCCTCTAGTCTGCCAGTTTTAATGTTTTCCAAAAACAAGGACTTTGCAATGACCTCTTCCAGCAAATGACGCTTGAAAACAAATATATACATCATCCACAGAAGTTCAGTTCCCGTATCAGCCCCTTTTAACTGCTCTCCCTTTTTCTCAGCCTCACTAAAACCAGCTGCAATTGCTACCCCTTCTCTCGCAGCACAGCAGGTCCCTCAGCATCCGTTTGGGTGATCCAGACCTCTCTCAGCTTCCCTCTTGATGCTTCAACCTATGCAGTGAACCTAACAGCTCCCTCTGAGGGTGACCTGCATCTCTCAGCTCTTCTCACTGAGGCAGAGAGCACTAAGTAGGGTTTCCAGTAGCAGCAAAATCGGGTGACCCCTTTCTCCCCACTTAGGCCATTAGCGGGACACCCTGGCAAGCATAGGTTGGTGCTGCAACTCACATTATCAAATGCATTTGTCACGCAGCTGCTAGAAGACCCTGTGGAGATCATAAACAGCAAGCTGGAGCTTCAGGCCTTCGACCAAATCGACGACGAAATCAAACTCATCGGCTATTTCAAAGGAGAAGACTCCGAACGTAAGATGAACGTGTTCCTTGGTGGGGCTTGGAGCCTGGCTGGGGACGCTGGGGTCAGTTATCTGAATGAACGTGAAGGGTGTTTGTTAGAGGTGTGTGGCAGTGCCAAAGCAGCCAGTGGTTGAGGTGGAGTTTGCAGGCAAATTTCTGCTGTTGCTATGCTCGAGCCCACTCCTACACCAACTCCAGTGACCCTTCTGCTGGCAGGAGAAGGGGGTGATAGTCCAGGATCTCCTGAAGTATGTCTGCCTCACCCAAAACCAGCTGAGCTTAGAGTTATGCTGTGTGAGCACCTAAAGGGAGCAAAGCTCACCCTGTTAGGAGCAGTGAGCCAAAAGGTTAAACAAACTCAGATGGAGGGGGGAATAACGGGAAAGAGAGGGGGACACATTAAATCCTAACTTGGCAAATATAAAGCAGCGGTAAGCAGGATGCCTTAGGGCAGCCCAGCAAAGGCACTGAGCTGTTTCTCCTAGCTGAGCCCCAAGACTGAAAAGAGGCTGGTCCCATGCCCTGAGGGATGTGCAACTTGGAGATCGTTGCAAGCAAAACCATCAGCTTTCATGAGTCTTGAGAAACCCTCATGCGCGTCTCTCCCTGGCAAGTCCCAGCAGTCCCCTCTGCCAGCCACCCTGCTCGCTGGGCAGCACTGGCAGCATCCACCCCATGCTTGCAAGGCTTGCCTTTAGCAAAAAGACAGGTACACCTGAACGAGCAAGGTATCACCAGGTCTGCTGCACCACAGCAGCCATCCACCTCTCCCTTCGGTTTCCTCGCCAGCTCAAAACGGGCTGCAGGGCAGCTCGGACAGAGCTGCACCCCTAATGCTGTTCAGTAACAAGTTTTTTGAAGAAAAGTAGGAAATACCTGTTGTAAAGAGCTCCCTTCAGGCTGAGAGCATCCTTCCTGACCAGAGCTGAGGACCTGATACCAATAACAGTGAAAATGTACCTCGCTCCTCTCCCCTCCTCCTGCAGCAGAAGCGTGCCTCATCATGCTTGGTGAATATTTAGGGAACAGCAGCGATCCTTAATGTTGGAGCAACTCCATATATTTCCCATGTATACTGCAAACACCCTTATCCATATGCTGGACTTGTAACCCCTGGATCTGCTTCATGGGACTGTTGATTTTGGTCTCAGTTAAACATGGCATGCTGGGATCTGGAGTTTTCCTAAGCACTGTGGGAGTGCACAACACGTGTCCTGTTCACTCCACATGAAATGGTCCTTGTTTGTAAACCCTGGCAGGGTGGAAGAAACACAGTGCCATCGTCTGATGCATTTTGCAATAATTTATATTTGTTCTTCCCCAGTGCCTTCTGTGCTGATCAGAGCGTGGCCAGCTGCCTGTGAAATCTTTTCTTCATTCTCCTTTTCTCCTTCCAGATTACAAGGCATTTGAAGAAGCTGCCGAACACTTTCAGCCGTACATCAAGTTCTTTGCCACCTTCGACAAAGGGGTAAGCATCCACGGACCTCTCAGCCTCCACCACCTGTTTTTCAAGCTCAGGATGTTCCCAGATTTAACATCTGGCTCCAGCTTCTTATTTTCAGCATTCCTGTAATTTGTGGTATTGGTGTCCGCATTTGGATTTGGCCAGGTCATGAGATAAAAGGCCATTGCTGCAGCGTGGAGGCAGCTCCTGGTCTGGGTTTGGAAACGAGGTCCATTAGGTTTGGGGACCTCGACTCTGGCCTTGCTCTGCCCCAGTGCTTGACACCAGTAGTGTAGAGAGCATCAGTGTTTTTTTAACCAAGGGAAGATCCATTCATATTTTGTTGGCCACCCTTAAGTGTGCAAGCACCTTGACCTCAGCTCTGCCACCGGGAGAGGCTCTGGGTGGGCAGAGGCATGTCGGGCTCACCCACTTCTGACCCTCTGCACTGCAACAGGTTGCCAAGAAGCTAGGCCTGAAGATGAACGAGGTGGACTTCTACGAACCGTTCATGGATGAGCCTGTTCACATCCCGGATAAGCCTTACACAGAAGAGGAGCTGGTTGAATTTGTGAAGGAGCACAAAAGGTGCGTAGCATACAGGATGCTCCTGGCCACTGAAGGTGGGTAAAAGCTGTCTGTCATCACAGGCTTGCCCCTCTAGGGAATCCCTCTCAAGAAAAATTAGGATGTCAACCACCTTTTGGCAATTTGATCACCCAGGTTGGAGACTTCAGCTGGTCTTTTCCTACTCCCAGTATCTGTGCCACAATCAGAGCCCACCACCATGGGGCTGGGACAGCACGTCTTCCCTCCTCCTCCCCACTTAGCCCTCCCGCAAAGCACAGGGAGGCTTGCAGGCAGTGGAGGGTGGGAAACTTGCCCATTTGCCCATGCTTTTACTTTAGGTCTGTACAGAAGATGATCTTCTTTAAGGCATCTCAAGCCAAAATCAAATTCTGTCCACTCCTTCCCCAAAACAACCTCACTGATGGGTATATGCCTCTCCTCCAGGACAGCTACATCTGTAGGCAGGCTCTGATCTCAGACCAAGCTCAAAGGGACCGTGATGGGCCACACCTCCTGCTGACTGCAGGTGGAGAGAGGCAGCCACTGCTGTGGCTGTGTTGGGCTTCAACTGCAAAGGTGCTGAGCACCCACAGTGTTTGATCAAGTCAGTGAGAGCTGCGGATGCTCCATGCTTTTGCCATCAGGTTTATTGCACAGTTCTTTAGGAACTCAGCTACTGACAATTTGGAAGCGAATGGAAAGTCTGATCCTGTGTAAATGCCCCAGGTTAAATATAAGGGCACAACTACCTCTGAAGTGCTACATTTTTATACCTTTAAAAATACAGCACAGTGTAGAGTCACACAGGCTATCTGCTGCTCCCGCAACTGCGTTTCCCAACAGGAATTCAAGGGACCAGGAAAGATTTCAAGAAAAGCAGGGCCATCAATACTGTTAGAAGCACCCAAAATCAGGCTGAGCGGGAGGTTTGTGTTCACGCACGGAGGGTTTGGAGACAGGAGGTCACCTCCAGAGGCTGCAACTTGGAAACAGATCTCTGCTTTTTCTGGAATATGAAGGGATCCTTTATCCCCCATGTACTCACAGGTCACTTTGCTGACCTCCTGGGCTTCCTGACCTCAGTCCTTCCCATCTTTTATTCCCCAAGCTCTTTCTGTCAAGCAGCAGCATCAGGAGGCTGATTAAACCCACTCAGCTAAGTGCCTAATAAGGCAAGCTCTCCACCAGCACAAAATTGCAGTGGAACCCCCCCCAAGCCTTACACGTTCCAAGATGCTATGTGGTGCTTGGTAGGAGCGAAGGGCTGGGCCCTTTATTTTGCAAGTGCCAAGGATCAGAAAGGAATTAAAAGGTCTGATGAAATCGTATGCCTGAAATCCCAAACCTGCCAAGGTGCTGCCCTGACAGGGGGAAAACCCTGGGGTGACAGTGATATGTTCCCAGCAGTTAATGCAAGTTTGTCAGAGCCTTGTCCACCAGGAAAGGACCTAAAGCCAAAATCTAGGAGTGGACTTAGTCAGAAAAGGAGATTATCAGGCCTGAAGAGAAAAACAACTTGACCTCAGCACCTGCCGTGTGCTCATTCCCTTAGACAACTCAGCAGGATCTTCTCCCTTGCAGGAAGGTGTAGAGGCTCACTCGCCTCCTTCCTCTCACACAGCAGACTTTGTCCCTTCATCCCAGCTGGAGGGCATGGGCCAGCTATCCCTCCACTAAGGTGCAAAGCCCTGCTGCCACCTCTCTGTCCCCTAGAAAGAACCCCATGACATCCCTGGGGAAAGCTCCCAGTGCTCCGCAGCAACCAGGCTCTTCGGCATGCTTTAACCAGAGTAAATCCTGAGTAACCCTGCAGCAATCAGTACACGTAGGTATGATCAAATCCTTCGCACTAGTTTTCTTTCTCCAAGAGCTTCCCCCAGGGAACAGCTAGGGAAAGCATCTTGAAACTCAGTACAAGTACATAATGTGCATTCATCTGATATAGTCTCCGGTTCCTGGCAATAAGGAGACTTGCTGGGTCAAAAATGGTATCCCTGACCTTGTGCTTAGTGGTTATTTCTTCAATATCTATAGTTTATTTTTTACCTCATTTTATTTTGATGCTGAAGGTATCCAACTGTAATGAATTCAGTGGCTGAATTATGCATCACATCAAAAGAGCGCTCCTCTTTGTTCAGTTTATACCTGCTACCTAATAATTTTGCTGTGTGCCTGCTAGCTCTTGTGCTAAAAGGAACAGTGACTAGGCATTCCCTGTGTCATTTTTTCGGACCCCTTACCAAATCCCTCTTCAGTTACCCCTTTTACAAAACCAAGGGTTCTTACCTATTAATCTCCACCAAATAGAGTTCATTCCATACCTTCATTCACCACTGCCATGTTTCCATGTCCATTTTGAAGTTGTCCCATATCCTTTCCGTGATGGGATGACCACAACCATACATACATTCACTGTGGAGCTGCATAGCCTAGTTGTCCACTGCCATAATGGTATGAGGTGCTTTACTCCTTAGTCATCTCCTAACTGTAGACTTCTTTTTGCCTTTTGCCTTTGGAGCTGATACTTCCTCAATTTGTGACACCTGGGCCCCTTTCCTGAGTGGCAATAATTAATTATAACCAATTTAGAACTCATTGTTGCAGCTGTATAATCAGGGTTGGTTTTCTGCCTTACTCCCTGTGTCTACCATGCAGACATTCAAGCCTCAGGAGATCCCAATGTATCTCCTCGTATTCAGGTGTTGGCCATCTGAAGAATTGGATGTGATGAGCAAAAGCTGCTGCCATATTCTTATTTCCCATCTTTTTCAATCTATGTGAGAATATGTTCTGCATATGATCATGCTAAAGCATATGCTATGAATCGTAATTGATTAATTCCCTCTGTCGTGAAAACTGACTATTCACCTCCACCCTGCGTCTTCCAATGTCATTAATCCTCAGGAAGACTCCTCCTCAGAGCTAACTGCAGCTCAGTTTCTCTGAGAGACTTCAGTAAGGGACCTTGTCAAATGGTCCTCGAAGGCAGTTCACCTCACTGACCAGCATACCTTCGCCCACGAGCTGACTCTCTCTGGGAACTCCAATGGATCCATGGCCATAATTTTCCTCTCCAAGGCCGTGCATCTCTTGTGCTACCATGTCACATTCCTTCAAAGGTCTGTTAACTCTTCCTGTTAGCATCATGCCGACAAGGAAGTCACCCTTCCAGATCTGCAGTTCCTCAGGTCCTCAGGTTTCTGATGAAACCTCCAAAAACGTTCCTTGTTTCCATTGCTCTGGTAGAGGCAAATTGAAGCGACAGGTTACACATCTCACTGATGCAACATGCTGCTGTTCCCTTTGCAGTGTGTCCTAGGACCTCATGGACAGATGCTTCTCTTTGCAAGGGCAGGTCAGCCAGGGAGACTTGCTCTGCTGGGGAAGCCTCCCTGAACACCTGATGCCACAGTGAGGAGAGGTGCAGAGGATCACCTGTGCATGACTGCTATGGCCTGGTGCTGCTTGGGTGCCTCTTTAACACCTCAATCACCTCTCAGCCTGCCAGGCTCTCTGCTACGGATGTGTCTGGAATTACTTACTATTCATTTTTTTGTCCTTTATGAACTACTTCTCAAAAAATTTGCTTTGGCCAGTCTTATGGCTTAAATTTTCTTAGCAGTGGCTATTATGATCTAAATTTCCTTGCCAGAGGTTATTCTGTCTTCTTTGATCCAGCAGAGTGATTTTGTGGTGGAATTATGATGGGGTAAAACCAGGAGAGAAGGAGAACAAAGCCCAGTAGGAATGTCCTAGGCACTGCAACACACAAGTGAATCGGTCACCTCGTGCTCTCAGCATGGACAGAACAATCTGCCATGTGTGGGATTAATCCGCCAGCGTATCCCAGCATAGAGAGGCATCTCATCTTCCCAAGCACAAACAGTGGCTGCAGTGACTCCAGCGGGGGCAAGGGCAGGGTTTCATTGCCATAAATAAAACTATAAGTTGACCTACTGTGCCCCCGTGCTTGCGTTCAAAATGTGGTGTCCAATGGTGCTGACTCCAACCACCAACCAAACGTGCCACGGTGACCTTCTCCGTGACGCCAGCAGCGTCGTTGGTGACAGTGCTGGACGCATCCTCAAAGAGCTTTTCTGTCTTCCTTTCAGGGCCACCTTGAGGAAACTGCGTCCCGAGGACATGTTTGAGACGTGGGTAAGCACGCGTGGTGGGAAGCCTTGCGTCCCCTGCTAGCTTCCAAACAGAAAGCACTCATCAAAAGCTCAAGCCTGTCTGGGAAATCCATGATCGTTCCTTCCTTGCAAAGCTACTTTCCCTCCTCGGGGGAGAATGGAAAGCCTTGGCTGTGATGCCTAGTGCCTGAGTTCAGTGTGCTCAAATGTGCTCAACTGCAGTGGGCAGCTGAGCTGGGTCCTGTTTGCTCCACAGAGGGAACAGGGAAAGCTAACCACGAGTGCCAGGCGGGTGTTGAGCCTCTGTAGCAGCCGTGACATAGCTGTGGAGAGCGAAGGATGCGCGGCCGTGATACAGCTACGGACAGCATCCTTCCCAAGGATGCTCTGTCTCACGTCATGGGCATCAGTGGTGGTGGTGGGGTGACTCCAGTGACCTGCTCACTGGGTGAGCCACGGAGATCGTACTGAATGGATGACTCATGGAAATTGTACCAGAGCAGTTGTACAATTCAAAATGCAAGTGAGGGCAGGCGGTTCAGTTAATTATATAAATTACGGAGCAAATCGTGCCTTGATTGCACGTCTCACGGTGTGAGCAAGCTGCAAGTCAGCGATTGTGAAGAACTAACCAGTGGTTTAGCACCGATCACACGCAGAGGACTCTCCTGGTCTGCAAGTGTGGGGGGAAAAGGGAAGGGTGAAAATGAAAGAAAAATTGTGTATAACAAATTATCCCTTCAGCGTGAATGAGTACGATGTTAATAATCAGTCAGGGACCTTCAAGTGCCAGCTGAATGCTGAAAAACAAAGCTGAACAGGTGCTTTACAGATCCTAAGGAAGATGCAGTCATTCCACCAAAAAGCTCGGCACATTTATAACAGCACTCAGTTGCCTCCTTGCTTGGCTGTGTAACATGAAACCCTGCGGGACCCCGAAGCACCAAAAAGCTTGGGAGTCTTTAATACAACAAGGCGAGAGGTAATCAAACTGAACCAGGAGTTATGAGTCACTTGGGCATGATAGCTTTGCATTCTGTTTTGAAATACAGATTCTGTACAAAGAGAGTTTCCAAGATCCGCTGAAGTCCCTCCGAGTTTTTTCATGGGGCTTCAGTGGGACCCAAATTTCACAGGCAGTGGTTTTTCTTTCATACTGAATATATTCTAAAATAACCTCAGGAAAAGTGTGAATCGTCAGCGGTGGGATGTTCACTTTACCAGCAGCCTGGGAATAGAGAGCTTGCCACTGCTACAAGCAGGGGACTCGTACCAACAGGAGACAACGGGCTGGATTCTGATCTTGCTGCAAGTTCAGAACATCCTCAATGCTTGTACTGGAGTTACTCCAGTTTTGTTTGCTGCCTTGGAGGTCAGAGTAGAGCTACATTATATAGAAATACATATAATTATATACTGCCTATATGTATTTTGTTTTATTTTGCTGTCTGTCAGTGCTGCTGGCAAATATGGAGAAAAAGCAACAGTGTAGATTTTGCCAGCTGCAAGTGGCCTGAGTCCCAGGTTAACCTGCCTAGAATGCCCTGGCGAGGACGTATTCCCTGAAGATGCCATCAAAGACCCAGCATCCGCTATTGTTTTTAAAGATAATGTTTTCCACTTAATCTTCCAAGGTTGGGTTTTTTTTTTTCCTTTCAGTTTTTGATGGTGGCTTTGTCACCTCTGGGCTCAGAAGGGAAAAGAAATTAGCATTTAGATGGGAATTTTTTCTCGCATTAAAATCAATTGAAATGGAAACGGGGACTGGCAGCGGGTGAGGAAGGCGAAGCCGATCCATGGGATAATTCAGAGATGACATTCATAGCAGGCGGATGATGAACCAGCCAGCAGATCTATTGGCCTTTGCCAATATCATTACCCATTACTCATGTGTCTCTTGGAGAAAAGCAGTCCAACAGGCCGTCATTTCTGTCCTCCACTCATTGGAGCCACGAAATCAGCCTCCCACTGAATTCCCCTCACTGCTCACAGAGACCCTCACCTAGACCAAGAGACCCTTCACCTCCTGAAAGGTGCCCAAGTGAGCCACCTCGCCTCTCAAATTGTGAGGAACCTCCTTTGCTGGCTCCGAAGGAGCATGCTGGAGGGCTGAGTATAGTAGCAGATATTTGTTTCCCCACAAACCATCCCCTGACAGCTGCCAATTGATGAAGGTAGGTGGCCTTGGGCATGGCGGGTGAGCCCATATTCCCATGCTAGAGAGGCCTTGCCTTTGCCATCTGGGTGTCCACCTCGTTTTCAGCTGAAGAGTTTCAGCAACACTACGCAAACTACCCTCTTCAGTGCCTAATACTGCCGTGACTCAGCTGCACCTCAGCTCCCAGCTCTAGCATCTTGGTGGGGCTCCATTCAAGCCTCTCTTTGCAATCACCCTGTTTGTTTGAAGGCATCCCACTGCTCCCCATCTCCAACAACTGCACGGCCTCTGTCCTCCTTCCCTGCCCCATCAGTAACAGTTTTGTTGTTTCCAGGAGGATGACATGGAGGGAATCCACATCGTGGCCTTCGCCGAAGAAGACGACCCAGGTAGGAGGCCATTTACCTCCTTAAGTGACTGTTACTAGAGAAATTGTAGTTTCATGTGCTTTGTTTGCATGGTGGAGCCCTGCACCCAGGCTAGGACGGAGAGCTGGGGTGCTTCTGGGTGCTTACACTAGTGGGTATGCTAGGTGGGATTCAAATTCTGGATATAAACGGGTGGCCAGCCGAGGTATAACGGTCATCTCCTCCACCTCTGTGCCAGAATTTGCTCCTTAGCTCTGTGTCCATCTTGCCATATGGCTCCACGACAGTGCTGAGGGCTGGGTGTGCGATGGGCATGCAGGAAAACCTGTGGGCATCAGCTCCTGAAAAGCTGTGGTGTCAGTGCTTCTCAGTGCCGGAAAAGCTTTGGTCTGTCGGGTGCTCAGCTCCTCCCTCGCCACAAGAAAATGGTGACATTGTTCCACTCCACGGGAGGATTACGAGACTTAATTCATGTGTAACTAATTTCAGCACCCAGAGAGGATGCTCGAAATTAAAAGCCTTATTATCAGGCGAAAGAGCTGGGAGACAGCATTTTAATGAGGACCATAAACAACTCCTGTGTGCTTCAGGGGGTGAGGGAAGTTGAAAACCCCACAAGCAAAAAGCGCCTGCGTGTTTGCGGGAGAGAGCTGCAGCGCTCCATGTATCATTTCAGATGGCTTTGAGTTCCTGGAAATCCTGAAGCAGGTTGCCAGGGACAACACCAATAATCCCGACCTGAGCATTGTCTGGATTGACCCCGATGACTTTCCTCTGGTGAGTGGCAGGGGTTCCCTGCCTTTCTTGGTTTCCTATGGGTAAGGGGTGTGTGCACCAGTGCAGGAATTGCCTCAGGGAATTTGGGTTTGGAAACGACCATGGGCGATCCCTGAGAGCTGCTCATCTGGGTCTGCCTCCTATGAAGATGGTGCCTTGGGAACATCCCCAGGGTTGGCACTTGCCTGTGCCGTGTGTGGCAGCCCAAGCTTGCCTTCAGCCTCTCTCCCGTGCACCCATCCCTGCACGCTCCCGGCACCACGGCCTGAGTTGATGCTACGGGGTGTTGCAAACGCCCCCGGCTGAGCTTTGTTTCTCACTCTGCAGCTGATCACTTACTGGGAGAAGACCTTCAAGATTGACCTGTTCAGACCACAGATCGGGGTGGTGAACGTCACAGACGTGAGTAGTGTGTGCCCAGAAAACCCAGCGATTCCAAGATTAGGGTGCTAGAAAGGATGCCACTGGAACCGGTGGGACTTCTGCTGTTAAGTGCAGGTAGAACAGGCTTTTTCCCCGGGGAAAAAGTGTAAAGACCTCACCATTCCCACATGCGGCGGGGTTCAAAACACCTCCGACGTCGGGCTTTGGTCTGAGCGTGTTTCTGCTGCCGCGTCTCACGCAAACGACATCTGCTGAGGACAGGACCGGCCTCTGTGGTCTGAGCTTTGGGGTTTTGCCCAGTTTTGGTTCCAAGGTCTCACATTTCCAGCCCACAGCGTGCACCTTTGCAGGTGCCCTGGTCTGACTGCGCCTGGGTGGGTTTGTGAAGGAAAAGTAGAGAAGCAAGCCATGCTTAGGGTAGAAGGAGAGAAAAAGGCAGGTGTTTTTGCAGCAGAAGCAGAACGGCCCAGCTTGAGTGTAGGAGGGAAAGACCATCATTCCCAACAGATGACAGGGAGAAACTGCCCAGAAACCTGAATAAATACACAGCCTTAATAACAGTGTGGCACAAACTGGTGCCCGAGGGATGCTGCTGGGGTGAAGAGGGCATACTGGGGATTGCTGCTGAGCGCAATGTAACGTGCATCACAGCCCTGACATGACTACAGAGAGAAACCATTGTTCCCCTGCCTGACCCTAACAGTCCAGACGATCGGAGAGCGCGGAACGCGGCACGCTCCAGCCTGGCGCGCTTATTCCCTCAGTTTATTTTTGATGGTTAAGTGCTGGGTGATTTAATCTCTTAAACCTGTGTGGGTTTCTAAGTGTCTCTGGAAACAGAAATCTCTCCACTGCAGAAGTGTTTGTAATTTGGTGCTTGACTCTGTGATTGAAATTTCAGCCATATGGGAACCTGATGTTTCATTAGAAGAGAGCAGAGGGGGACTTAGAGTTGGGACAACTGTCCGGGGCTGTGTGTTGGTCCTGGCTCCACCACCAAACTTGCTCCCCACGTCCTCTCTCCTGTACCTTCCCAGAAAAAGGGGGACAGCGGGGGAGTATTAGGCTGTTACAACAAATGCTGCAAGACCTTCAGATGGGAGATGTGGTAGGAGAAGGCAAAGTGATGGTGTTATAATGAAAGTGGAGACCCTGGATCCTGCCCATCCCATTGAAGGGAATGAGAAGGAAATGCGCAGTCTGGCCTGAGAGTTACAGAGCAGATGTGATGCTGGCGGGATGCGAGCGGTACTTTACCTGTACTAGAGCAGCATCTGCCGGACCGTGGGACAGACACCTAGAGAGTGGGGACCCAGGGGGTTAAGGCTTGTTAGCAGAATTGTTAAGGGAGAGCCAAAAGGGAAGAGGGCCGAGATGGCATCTGTCACCTAAAATTATGAGAGAAATGAACAAACAAGCCAGAAACAGAGCCCACGTCTTCCAGTCTTTTGCCCTTACCACCAGTATCTCTCTTCATTATATCACTGCAGCTGGCCGTGTTTAAGTCATACCGAAGGTACATTAAAAGGCTATCAATGAAAATTCATGGAAGTAGGATTGTCAGTGGCAAGAGGATCATATAGAAATCAGTATTAGGCAGGAACATATGCCTTATTATCCAGCAGTCATCGAGAGACCTGTGAAATCTCATGCATTATCTAGCTTTGATAAAGTAAAGGTTGTTGATGATAGTATTTGCAGTTTTTATTTCATTCCTCTCAAGTCTGTTTTATATTCCTCAAGAGGGAGATTTAAGAAAGTTCTAGGTTGGCGGGTGATATCTAAAACAAACACTGAGCTCATTTTGTTATTTCAGTGCTACATCACTGCATTCAGCCAAGTTACACAAGTACAAACCGGGGCTTGCACGACGGAGTAAAAATAAACACTGCTGTTGGCTTCGGTGGACATAACCTCCGTGACCCCATCGCTTCTCTAAAAACCTGCCAAGGCAAACACCAGAGCTCCCAGCAGCCCCCACTGGCCCGTCACATCGTAGCCGCGCGGGACAAGAGCCATGACACTACAGAACGTTGCTGCTGTGTTTGCACAGCATTGTCTCTAGGTGCAATGGGCCCACTCCCCTTCCCCTTATTTAGAGGTGTCACTTTTTGCTGCACAAACAGGCCTGAGGTCAGGGACAAGCTCATTTGCACAAACCAAGAGCCGCACCGTGGCTCTTTTTTATCACAGTTTTGGTGTTTTAGGAGGAAAATATTGTCAGGGAGAAAGACCTTTCCCTGAGCAGAATTCGCTCTGGCTGTTAAGCAAGCCATACAACAAAGAGGTACCACAGCCAGGGAAAGAAGTGGGGTGCCTTTGCAAAAGCCGGTAGTTATCTTCTGACATATGAAAAGCACTTGCAGCATCAAATGCTGAATGAGACAACCTCACAGCACCTCTGCAAAATAGGAGGCTGATCCTATATTATGGAGGGGAGATGGTGAAGGGAAAGGAGATTACCCAGGCATTTACTCAAGGAACCTACAGCAAAGCAGGGAGAAAACCTTTACTTTCCAGGTCTCAGAGCCCATCTAACCTATGCTTCCTGTGCCTGGTTAATAGCTGCAATTTAGACAGTGTCTTCCGACTGCATTTTAGACAGCATCTTCTTATTGAATCCCCCCCATCCCCTCCACACTATGGAAGTAATACAGACAGCTGGAGAGAAAGCGCAGGGGGGCACCTGTGGTTCAGGGAATTGGTGTTTTTCACCATTTTTCAGCTGGAACACAGTTGAGATGATCTGAGGAAAGGCTCTCCCAGGGGACTAACACTATCACATGTGGAGAGTCCAGAGCAACACCCTGAGACAAAGGTGATGGTAAAAGGCTGGTGAGAAGGGATGCTGAGAGCAGGGTGTACAGGCTCAAAGGAAGAGTTCCCAGAAGGGCTCTGGAAGGAAGGAGGGATACACTGTGATGTCTTGTGAGCAAGGGCGATGCACAGGGAGCTCGAATAGGTGTTTTTATGCTCTCTTTATGCAGACTTGGAGTCTACAGATCTGGCCAGGCAGGGTGAAGTCAATGCACCAGGTGGCTGATGCTCTTGCTCACAGGTGTAGGCACTGCAGGAGAGGGACAGGCAGCGGGCACACATGTAACCCAGGGCAAACAGTACCACACGTCTGTGTAAACCCTGTCCCCGTGCCCCCAGCCAGAAGCACTGGCAATGCAGGGAGAAGAGGTAACCCCAACGCGTGGGCAGGGAGACACTGGTTGAGCCTGTGTCACCACTCCATTGTGCCACCACTCAACCTCCCCACCCCTCCATCCCCTCCGTGTCCCACCTGTGTCCAACCCTTATGCCTGCAGTAGCAGCGAACATGCTCTCTTCCCTGTGCCTCTGCGGGTGGCTAATCCCTCATCACCTCTCCCTGCAGGCTGACAGCGTCTGGATGGATATCAGGGATGATGATGACCTGCCCACGGCTGAGGAGCTGGAGGACTGGATAGAGGACGTGCTTTCTGGGAAGATAAACACCGAAGATGATGACGATGATGATGATGACGATGACGACGACGATGACATCGACGATGATGATGACGACGACGACGATGACGATGACTAACTGTGACTCTGTGCAGTCTGACTTGTGGGGGCTGAGAGGCCTCCCCCCGCGACAGGTCCCTCCATCGGAAGACCTGTGTTTGAGCGTCAGCAAGCACCGCTGCTCCTCTTTCTCCCCTGCCCCGCTCCCCCTTCCCGGACCCCCCGGCCTGATTCTCAGCGGTGCTGAGCCACCGGGATTGCCCCTGCGGCGGGCGGCGCCTGCAGGCACCCAGCACCGCTGTAAATCATGCCTCCTTAGTAAGGACAGTAGGAATCTGCAGGCAATCTGCCCCCCGTGCCCCAGGGCAGGAAGAAAGTGCCTGCCTGCTCCCTGCCAGAGGGACACAGGGAGCCAGTTTATATTTTCCATGCTCATCGGCCCAGCACTTAACATCCAAAGACCAAATCTCACCTCAAGACATAGGGAAGGCCACTGTGAAGTTTAGCCCTTTCGTTAAATGCAACGCCCTTTGCAGCTGCTCTGCCAAGACCACCCAATCCTGCAAGTTCTGCTCCAGGAGCCTGTAGCGATTCAGTAACATGCTAGGAGCAGTGAAGAGCTTTGGGAGGAAGGTTTTAGGGATGCAGTTTAAGTTTGCAGTGATTCCATAAAACAACAGGATATTCTCGTCTGGCAGCACAATGCAAATCCAAACACCACGGTCGCTGTCTGAACCTCTTTCTTCGTGAAAGCTCAGGCCAAAGACAGGGTAAGTGCAGGTGGTCTGATATGGGAGAACAAAGCTTGAGAGTTCCTGATCCAGGTCTCAGCCCAAACCCTTGAGGCTGGAGATCACGGCACTGAGCCAAATCGTTGGTTTTAACCCCAGAGACACACCAAAGCAGACCTCAGGCCTGTTCCAAACATCTCTAGCCAGGTCTGGGCTGGGCCTGCCTTGCCTTTCAGGTGAACCTCAGTGGGACTGAAGGTGATGCACATGAGACAGACAGCATACTCCTGTCAGTGGAAACGTTCACAGGGGCCCACCCTGAAGCCCTCCTATTCCCCACGACCTTCCATCTTTAGCTGACTTCTAATCCAAAGCCTCCATGACATCTTTTCCCATGACCAAGATGTTGGGAGGGAACACATCCGTCCAACCACATTAGATGCTGGATAATGAGAGTTGGGCAATGAGCAATGAAAGGATTCAAGCTGTTTGGCTTTTAAGTATTCAGTCACACAGTTAATCCCTGCTCCGAGACTCAGATGTCCCATGGCAGCCCGTGAGAGGCCTCTCTTGGCTGCAGACTCCAAAGGAGCTCAGGGCACCAGTTTGCAGTCAAGGAGGTCACTCACAAAGCAGAGGGTCAGCAACTCAGTCCTGGCATGTGCAGCACCATCCACGTGCTGGTCACTGCGACAGTGTCAAGTCTCCCCGCTTTCCCATGCCGGCAGATTTCGATTGTCTTAGCTTATTAGGTTTGACAATAGTGCAATGAATGGAGAGTTCGGAGAAAGTTTTATCTTTATAAATCCATTTATAAATACGTTCTCCAGCCGTTCAGACTTGTTAGCATAGGTAGGGTACACACGTCCTCTCTTGCTACAGACGAAAAACATTGTTCTGACCTTTCTTATACTGGCTTACATCAGAGGTAAGTGATGTTAGGGGAAATAACGGTGCGAGGGACAGGAGAATCAGAGCTCATAATACGAATGCGAATCAGCCTGATGAGAAACAAGGTTTACACACTATATATTTCCTTTACCAGATGAACTGCAAAGCAAGATTTTATAGATTTTTTTTTTTTCCTGCCTGTTGATCAGTCTCTTTGACTCTCTCTCTCTCTACGTTAGCTGAAATAGAAATTTGAAACTACTGGTATAAAAAAGCTGATGTACTGATATATTCCTACGTGTGCCATATCCCCTTGGTGGAAAGCGCCAGCATGAACAACGCGCAGCTGGGTATCTGTATGTCTCTGCGTATATGGATGAACAATGTGTTTGCATGGTATATGAGCGTAGGCCACGTTAGCTCCTCACTGAGCATCGCTCGACCCGTGCTTGAAGGCACAGCCTATTAGCAGAACAGACAGGACAGCAAAGCCCCCAGGCCAACTATTTGCCCTTTTTTGCTTCCTTACAATTCATAAGCAGCGCCTGGAGGGCTTGAACCAAGTGAGTTTGGGGAGAGCACCCGCATGGTCCCACTGGGGTTATGAACAACTCAGCCCCATCCCATTTAAAGCCCTTGGAATGCAGAGTGCTCTCAGCCTGGAGGTCCCCTCCTCTCCTTCACTCACACCCTGCTCTCTCCTGGCCGGAGGGGTGCCCAGCACCCTCCACCTGCTCCTTTTGTGAGAGGTTTGCTGGAGGACCCCGGCTCGCAGAGAGAAGGAGCAAGAGGGACTCAAGGTCTCATGGATGCACATGGGTAAGGAGCAAGAACAGGCAAAACCAGCCACAGAGTGGTCTCCTAGTCTGTGACTAAGGGACAAACACTCACCCGAGAAAAGTACCCGTTTACCTTGGAGCTATTACCAGGAGTAAATCACACACAGTTTCACCCTGCGTGAGGCACCAGCCTGCACAGGCCCTGCAGCTCCACATCGGTCGCTGCGAAGTGCCACGAATTTCTCTAAACACGAAGAATAAACAAAGGGTTTATTTCCTAACTGGCACTGCCTCCGGACATCCCAGTTGCCTGGGTACTTCTCACGTAGCCCCATTCCCACTGTGGGTGCCCATCCATTCTGGCGTGCCTGTCTCCAGATGCTCCGAGAGGCACAGCTTACGTGGCTAGGCCCTGCGAAGGGCATGGGGGACGTGTTCAGGCGCACGGGTGTCTCACCGGCACGTACACAATGCACCAAGCAACAGAGCTCGGGGCGGGTGTGTAATAATTAACGTAGCAGTGCTCGGGCTACTGAGACTGAGCTCGTACTGGTGTCCGTGATTTATGGAACGTCTCCCTTGAGTTATGAAAGGGCTAATCCGACGGCGGCCACTCCTTCATGGCGCCAGTCCTTGATGGGGCTTCCCTTTCTCTCTGCCCTCATCCCTCCATTTCAGTTTTCACTCTTCTCTTTGCCCATGAATGGGAACTTTTATCGTCAGCTTTTGGGATAAACACATAAAAAGTTAAGAAAACATTGCAGCAGAGGAAGGATTGCAGCAGCGGTGGTGAGTAGGCCTCTCCCCTTCACCCACAGCATCTCCTCTGCCCCGAGTTCACCGTGACCGGACCACTGAATGAGGCAATACCTCTTGTGAAGGAGACGGCAGCTTGATCCCAAGCATCTTCCCTGCAGGGACAGGGGAGGTGGTGGTATGGGGAGGTGTGACACTCGGGAACCCCGGCACGGACGCTCTTGGGCTCCTCTGCCAGGAGTAGGCACGACTGGCATGACAAAGGCACTGGTGGGCCTGGGGAGCAAAGTCAGCCTAACCCTGCCTCCTACACACTGAAAAGCAAAATGTCAAATACATTTGGATGACGAACCAGGGGGAAAAAACCTTCTTTATTAAAAAAAAAAAAAGGGCGTGGGCAGCACTGAGTGTTTCTGTAGGAAGTCTGTTATGATGGTCCCTCTGTTAGCAAATAGTTCTTTTTCTCCAAAATGTTAATTAGACATATTAAATGGGTCTTAATATACATAAAGACAAGGAATCGTATTCTGCCCTCATCCAACTGTGAGTGCTTCAAGCTGATTAGTCACTTCAAAGTACCCAAAAGCCTAGTCTTACCAGCCCCCAACAACAGCAAGTGATAGGCAGCAAGAACACAAAGTCATAGAGCACCTCCTTCCAGTCCCCAGCCATGGGGCCAGCGGCCACAGAAGAGGGGTTTGGCTGGTGTGCTGTACCATCGGGCACCCCGTCCTGCTCATGGGCAGCGATCCGGGAACAGGGAAACCCGTCAAGAGCCACATACTGCAGCTGTCATACAGAAGCACGAAGGAGAAAGCTTCTGCCTTTGCAGTGAACCCAGTGACACTGATGGAGAGGCTCTGTGACCCCAAAATTGCTCTGAGCTAACGTCGAGCATTCGGGAAGCAGCTCCAGAAGGAGAGTACATGGGAGGCACTGTGGAAATCACAGATTACTCCAGATTTTCAGGGTCTGTGGTTTTGTGGTGTTTCTGAGGAGTGGTGAGAGTCTCCTGTGCTGCGATTGGGAGAGGAACGGCCCTGTAGTGAAACCAGAGACCTCGGCTGCTTCCCATCCCAGAATGAAGCTGCTCAGCCAGAGGCAAACATGCACGGCCCAGCCGAGGACACCAGCTGCTTCTCCGTGTCTGTCTACACATCGTACCTCAGAAATGACTGATTCATTACCGAAACCAAACAAAACCACTGCCGTGTATTCCCAGGGAAATAATCAATTAGACAGGAACCTATCACTTCCCAGCTGCTGATGACATGCAGTCCCGTGAAAATAGGCCAGGATCGCATCTGGATTCCTCTCTGCCCAGCAAAGCTTTGGCTTTGGGGGAGCCACTCCTCCCAGCCAGTTGCACACGGATGCCCAGACCTGGGGGGCTGAAGAAGGGGAATGGGTGAACAGGTGACAAGCACCAAGGCTCTCTGCGGCAAAGCAAACTGCCTCCTGGCTACTTTTACACCCCAGGTGCACCTACGCCGTGCAGCGCAACACCATCCGCTGGAACCTGGCAGCAGCGGAGCACCACAGGAAGGCTAATTAACCTCGGTAATGAGGCTGCGCCAGCAGGACTGTGTCCTACCCCAGACCCAAGACTCGGTGTGTCGACCCACTGTGCTGCAGCATCCCCGGCGTTTCCTGCTCCCTTGTACCACTGCCATTTGGGCAAAGCAGCCCTCCAACAGTCAGTAGCCCTTGGGACCAGCCGTGGGATGGCTCTCACACCTGTTTGGCAGAAGGTGATGTCTAATGAGGACGCGGAGCATGGGGCAGGGTCCAGGGCAGAGCCAGCCCTCCTGGTGCAACTCCCAGAATGCTTCCTGCCAGGTTTAAAAGGTGCTAAACTATTAAAGGGGAAGGGGAAAAAAAAAAAGCAACAGAGCTTCCTTGCAGCTTGAAGACCCATTTCTGGAGTCAGATTACGGGCAGCTTTTGGGATGGAAATAAAGATCCTTCTGGTGCCTTGCTCCCCTTCCGCTCCCCCTTCGTGCCTTCTCTCACTGAGCCCCTGTGATGAAGGGGATGAGTAAAGCACTCAAAGGGCATCTGGTGTTGTCCCTAATGCTGTGAAAAACAAGAAAACAACAGCTTTTTCACTTTCTTTTCACTCTGACGTGTTACTCTTCTGGTCTTCGGTGGCTCCTCTGTTATTTTCTTCCTCTCTCCATAGCCTGCCTTCCTCTTCTCCTCAACCCACACCCACAGCATATGGTATTGAGGGTCACTTAAGGCCAAGGCCCTCCCCTGCCCCTACTCCTTGAGCTCATCCCCAGACCAGGGAGGCAACAGCCTCCCTCACGCCACTGTCGGGAACCAGCCATGGCGGTCCCCATGCCATGAGCCGTGGCTGTGGGCATGGGGAGGGACAACATTTCCTTCCTGAGGAGAAAGCCAACCGGACAAGGCTGAGACTGGCTTTCCTTTTTGGGGGGACACAGGTGATACATGGTAAAGGAGGAGCTGTTTCACCAGCTTAGGCACTGAGGAAATACCAGGATGTTTTCTTGAGTGGCACCTTCTCCCATTGTCCCAAAATCCAGATGAGGAGCCATCACACTGCAAGCAAGCCCAAACTGCTGCCACGGCGGGAAGAGACCAGTAACCCCCAGCACCACCAGCCACCACA